TTTTGTGATTGGCCGTCTGGAGGCCAGCACGAGCCTTATTTGCATGTAGGATAGTTCAGTCCCAACTGTCTGCCAGAATCGAATCCCTGGAACCCTAACAGGTTTCAGCTTCTAATGACAGGCAATCTGTATCATACGTTTGGCCGCTCCTCCTCCTTGACCTCGTGCCTTGTTTTCTCTGTCTTCCAGCCCCATCACATCTGTTCCCTCTGGTTCCCCGATTCCCTTCATAGCATCTTCCCGTTCCCAGCATTCTCTGTGTCTCGTCGGCCATTCCTCACCGTCCAGCTTAACTCCCTTGGGTGTGGCTGGCTGAGGCACGTCTGGTGTGCGTTTCCACTGCCATCGGCTGGCCTTGGGGAAGGCATTGCAGCTGTGCCCTGACATCCAGAGTTTAATCTCCACCACCCCGAGCCCTCCCCTCAAGGCTCACTGCTAGACATTCAAGGAGACAGACACGGTGAACAGAAAAATCTGCCTTGTGTTGGACCTTAAGGTTGGCTTCAGTGGCCCCCCTCGCGAAAGAGAGAGCAGCACCCACCTTCCCATCCTAGCAATCTGGCACCTCTCTGATGGACCTGCTTTCCACTTGGCTTTTTCAAACATTTTTACTGTGAGCCGGAAGAACTGCCATGATGCCCTCCAGATATGTGGGATGATAACATCCATCGTCCTTAGCCAGGAGTGATGGAACATAGAGTCTGGTGGAGAACTGGCCTGTGGACTAGCCTGTAGGATTCTAGCCCCAGAAAAGAATCAGAAGGTTCTTGGTGCAAACCTCAATCCTGACAAGGAGCCGGTCGGCTGCCTTGATGGAGCTGCTCTCTTAGCCTCAGTGACATCCAGCAGGTGGTGGACAGCGAGGAAATGTGCAGCCGGAATGGGAAAAAAGGGGGTGCCATGTCTTTTTTGAGGCCACAGGCAAACTCGGCTATAAAAGGTGGAGTCAAACGGCGCCCAGCTGCTGCTCTTGTTACAACCCTGTCAAGATGTCAGCCGTAAACATCTTGCTTGCAGATGCTCAGAACTGTAAAAAAAAAAAAGACATTTCCCTGGACCAAGAATAAGATGTGTGATTCCAATGTCTCACCTGACGTTGGAACAGCTTTATTTGCCAAAATAGAGCAGAGAAGGACTGGAGCACAAATAGATTCATTTGTTCATTTCCATTCCTCCATTTTTTACCTCCGTGCCGTTGGCAGGGAAGCTTAGATTTCTAAAAACAGGGCTGTCCTCTGATTCCAGGTTAGGGATGCCATGAGGAGGATGTTGTTCTGGGCAGCTGGCATTAGCCGGCAAGGAGAGGGTGGGTGGCAGCGATGCAAGAAAGCTTCCTTAATGGGTCACCTGGGCATGTTCTGGGGGCTCACAATTAAAACGGATGCAGGTGGGGCCATCAAAAGAACCATTAGGCAGATGCAAAAATAAGAGGAATCAAAAGCCAGCGTTTCCCCCTCACCAGCTACAAAAGGGGGCAAAAGGTTTCCCATTAACTGCAAATGGCCACAACTTTGGCCTCTGCCTCTCCAGATAAGCAAGGGAACCGTTGGATATTTTTAGACTACGGTTCTCAGAATCGCCCTGATTCTGGGCTGATCCTGAGAATTCCAGTTTAAAAAGTGTAAGATTTCCCCAGCCCTGCTTGTTTCCATGAAGCCAGCGTTCCTTTTTCCCACCCCAGGATTTTCCAATCATCGTAGTAGTAGCGCCGCTCTACTCCTTGGGCGCTCTTTTAGGATCCAACCAGCGTGTTCTTGCCGGTGTTGCTGTTTTCAGAACAAAAACAGTTGCTGATTGGCATCACAGGGTCGTCCTGATTTTAGTTGTGTGCTTGCGTAAAGCGGAACGCCTAGATGTGCCAAACAGCGACATGACACGTTGGGCATTTATTTAAAAACACCTGGCCCCTCCTGATTTGACTCTAAATGACATCGTGCTGCTGCCTCCAGACTGGCCCCCCAGGTTTTTAAGGCAGGGCCCTCCTTCCCACATACAGCCCTTTGCCGACAAGGCTGGTTTTCAGCTTCATCAGTGGGGTGAAGAGGTGGGGAAAGGGTTAGAGTGATTCATCGCATCCCCTCTTCTTGCCAGTCCCACCTACGCAACAGAGAAGACAGGAGGGCGTCCTTCGGGAGGGCTGAAGAGATTCCAAGACACAGAGCCAGGTGGGGATGCTCCTCTCCCTCTCCTTGGCCTCGGTCCAAGCTGCCTTCTGCCCTGATTTATCACCAGCCGAGGTTCGAGGGGTTGACCCCCAACTCAGCTGCAGGCTGAGAACGGCCGGGAGAAAGCAGCAGGCCGACCCCGGAGAGCGGAGCAAGGAGCGGGAGGTTGCATGGCTGGTTCCTCGCCAGAGGTTGCTCGGCTGCCTGTCGCTCTTTAGAAAGGGAACCAAGAATATGAAAATACTGTATGGAAAAGAAGGAGCCTCCTCTTTCCGGGGCCTCCAACGCCTTGCAGACACTGGGGCTGCCTGGCAAATGGGGTGGCATAGCTTATTTGCATTTCTGGAACCGCTTTGGGTCAGGCAGGTCTCCACCGTGTCCAAATCAAGGCAACGTCTTCATCATCTTAACTGGCAAATCACCCGGGACAGGGTGGCCTTTCTCTTGCCCTTGCTTTCACTTCTTAGTTGGCTCGTGTGGTGCCTGGACTTGAGATGTGCGAGGCTTTCCACAGGTGGCTGCAGGGAAACCTTTGGGGTGCCTGAACCAGTGAGTGGCAAATACGACAGACAGCCGTGCAGGGAACTGGCTCATTCCCATAAATCATAGCTTGATGTGCCTCTCTTTGCTGCCTGTCGTGAGCTGCAATTATCATCATCATTATGGGGTCAGGAGCTGGAGTGTGTGTGGACATGGACCTGCCCCCACCACAGAGAGTGGGTGTCTGCTATGCACCCACCTCACTGTGGGAATGGGAAAACGTTTTGCTCGTGAGTCCCTCTCCTGCTTGCAAAAAAGCTCGTTTTCTCCCCCGCCTTCTCCATCTCCTGCTGGGAAAGAGGATCTCTGCCAGCAGAGCAAGCAACTACAGAAGTGCAGCATTCCCCTGAGACTTTGTGCAAGGCTCAGCCCGAGGCGATGGCCAGACCCCTGCAGGAAGTGCTGCGGAGCGGGCGTGTGCCTGAAACCTGGGACTCCTCCTGCTGAAAGTAAGCTAGATGGACCCGTGGCAGCTCCCAACATGGGCTGGCTGGAGCGTGCGTCTTAGCCCTGGGCTGGCAGCAAGGACCCCAGCATGGCGTTTGGGCACAGCTTTTGCAGCCGGGCTGCTCCGCCGGGAGAAAGGCTTCTGTGCACCTTGAGCACAGCGCCCTGCAGAATTCAAGCATCCAGTCATCCTCTGGGCACCGAGGGACTGTTCCCCCCCCATGCTTGCTGTGAGGAGCTGCTCTCTCCGGCTCCCACCACAGCCGTCTTCATACCTTCAACTCTTCTCTCCTGACGATGATGTCTAGAGATGGGCAGGAAGCATGGGTTCGACAGTTCGTGCCGTTCCATTTAGCTGCCAAACAGGTGTTTGGTGCTTCCCTGAGTGGGTGCCGGTTGGAGGAGGCAGGCCCGGGGGACGCCGGACACCGGTTTGGCCACTAAATGAACTGCTGAACTGACAGCTTGCACCCATTTCTAGTGAGGTGCAATGCATTGTGCAACAGTCATGGTGGATCAAGAAGGTGCCATCACCGAGGAAAGCTGGATGGGGTGGCAGCCTGTCTGGGAGCTGCCGGCTGACCCGGAGCAGGCAGCAAAGGGTCCTTCTTTGGTTCTCGCTCAGGTCTTGGCATGGCCCGGGCGCCGCGGAGCCCCGTGATGGATTGCCGCAGCTGCTGGCATGCTCGCGCCTGGCTGTCAAGCTCAAGCACATCCTCTCTCACGGAGCACAGAGAAAGAGCGATCGAGAGGATCTTGGCAGCAGCCTCAAAACTCCGCAGCAGGTGCTTCTGCTGAGACTTGGCAGCTGCTCTTGTTGATGGGATGCCCTCCGGCATCTCCCTCTCCCCCCCCCGCGCCCCCTAAGGCCAACTCCTATGTGAAGGATTCCCCCTTCAAGTCGTTGATGGAATGTAAACCCCCCCCCGTGCGGGATCCAAAGACGTGGCTCGAACAACCCTTCAGGCCCCAGGGATTTGCTCCCAGAGCCTGGTCACCAAACAAAGCAAACTCACCTGCAGCCGCTTGCCATGAGAATCCAGAATCCAACATCTTTCAGTACTAAAAGAATTTCCTCTTCTAATGACAGCTTTCCTACAACATACTTAGATTTCACTCTGGAGTCACATGGTCAAGAACCACCATAGCTGTTTGGGTCTTCCGTGCGCTGCTGAATAGGAGTTGCCGGGAAGGGGCATAATGACAGGTGGGGGAAACATGTTGCCTAAATCAGCCGTTCTCAATGGGGAGGGGATGTATGGCCCGGGGGGGGCATTTGAAGAGGGCCACGGACTGGGAACCATTCTTCACACATACTTTATAAGGTCTGTTTTTGCAACTTGTTCAACCCCATTTGGCTTGTATTTCTTTCCTATTGTGTTTATGCCCGTGGCAAAAAAATAAAAATAAAAAAAAGGTTGAGAAGGACTGGCTTAAACAATCCAGGCTTTCGCAAGTGGGATCTAACTAGCATTGTGAGATGCGAGAGGCTGGATCAGATCTTCCCGCCTTGGTTTGCTCTGGCTTCAGAGCCCGTAGCATTGACTTGACTTTTATTTTATATTTTTGCCCATCAGGGTTACCAGAAGAATTCCCAAGAATATAGAGCAAAGCATTCCTTCGAAATGGCTTTCAAAACATTTTAAGAACAGCTGTTTTTGATCAATATTCTTTTTGAAAAGAACAGACCAAAATCCATTCCCAAAGGGGAGTTTTGAAACCAGTCCTCATGACTCAAAGGCCTTGGTGGCTTGGAGGAAATCCACGGAGACCCGAGCCGGCTGGAGCGCCTTCTGGTCTGGCCGTCCTCATGGCTCTCTTTCCTTCTCCCTCCTTACCCCTGTGCAGGCAGTAGAAAGGCAGCAAGGATGCCGGACTCACCAGCTGACGTGAAGACACAGTCCCAATCCACGCCGCCGAGCATGCCACCACCGTCCCCGGCTGCCACCCAGGGAGCAACGCGCCACCCCACCTTCACGCCAAACCCGAGTGAGTAGCCTTGTGGACACCGACCTCAAAAGGATGGGGATCAAGGTCGCTGGGGAGCCTGGGGTGTCGGAGTTGCGGGGAGGGGGGCGCGACAGGGCAAATGACCTAGCTATGAAGTATGTCCTGAAAGGGTCCCGTTGGCTGAAGGAAAGTGACCTCTGGCCCCTCTTGCCAGGCAGGAGAGGGTCGCGTTTCCTCCGGAAGCACAACCGCAGATGCTTTGCTGACGTCTGGTTTCAGGGGCAGGGGGTGGGTGGATGACCTTCGTGACCATTCTGGGGAGGGGGGAAAGCTCCCAGCATCCTTTCGAGGTCGTTTTGTTGACCCCAGCCCTCTCCCTGCCTCTTCTGTTTCTGGCATTAAAAGGAGAACAAAATAAGAGTTCCTGGAAAGCTGCAGCAACGGTTGGCCTTTTACGTACATCGGCTGTAGCCCCCACCCCACCCATGGTGTCATTTAAGGCGACCTGCCTTCCTTTTCCAACCTGGCGGTGGGCTTCTCATCTTTTGTGTGTCTGTCGTTTTGGTTTTGCTTTGTTTTCGGTGGTCGGTGGAGCCACAGAAGGCCCCCTGGGGACCCAGGATTGGGGCCCCCGGAGCCCCATCCAAGTCACCCAGACGCCTCTCAGAGTTCATCTGCATTCCGGGGCCAGACCTGGTTCCCAGCAGCATCTGCACTGAGGGGCCCCTTTTTCTTCTGCACCAGCGCATGGTTCAGTTGTCTGCGGGCCCAGAGCTGCTTCCAATGCCCGGATGGGTGGGCTTGGACAGTATCCACCCCGGCGCTTGCTGGCGCTTCTCGCCTCTTGCTGCTGCCTTCTCCCAGCAAACGGGCTGAGCCATATGGCACCAGAAGCTGAGTGCCTGCTGGGAAAGCAGAAGCTGCCCCGCACCCCCGGCCCTGCTTTCTTCCCACCCTATGGAAAGACCTCGCGGATGTGGTGGATGCCAGCCGTCTCCGCTCACACTGATTAAGACCAAGGCTGCGAATTGTTGCTGGGGGGGGGGGTTGGAGAGATAACAGAGAAGCAGACAGAAAGGGACAAACTGGCCTTTAAGCGCCAGATGGCACCGAATCTCAGTGGGCAGAGGGCTGACTTCCAAAATGGGAACTGCTATGGTCCAAACAGTGCCAGCATTTTGGCTGTCAGAGCTGTTGAAGGCGCCGAGCCCTACATTCCCCAGCAGACAGCCATGGCCATGTAGGCTGGGGATTCTGGGAGTTGTAGTCCAAAGAAAGACCATGGAAAGAGGTGACTGGATTCACCCCCCACACACACACACATCTTCCCCCTCAACCCAGGAGAGGCTTGAGATGGCAGAGGTGGGTCCTGGATGGTGCAGGTCCACAACCGTGGCAGTCTAGTGAAGGACCGTGGAACCAGACGGAGCTTGTGCTTCGTGTGCAGAAACCACTGAGATTGCCAGTTCTTTTGGATCACGGATGCCTGTTAAACACAGCAGACCTTGGGAGATGGTTGCCTGGCTCACTGTGGGAAGGAAAGGGGCCGTGATGTCAGCGGGAGCCTGTGGTTTCCACCCAGTTTCTTTTCCTCACTATCAAGTCTTCCAAAGTGACAGGAGACCGTAGAGACACAACTGCCTCAAGCAGCTGCTCCCTTGTGTCTGTCCCCTTCCTGCCCCAGATCCTGCTGAAAACCAGCCCCAAAAGTTCCCTAATTCAAAACCAGATTCTTCCGCTGGCTGGCCGCGGCTCTAACAGGGTTTGTGTTTCATCGGTTCTTCTGCTGCCAATTGGAGGCTTTTTGAGCGGCCTGTATTTTTTGTTCAGTGGGAGACTTTGGGTGGGTGCCTTCCCCCACCCCAATCAACCACCTTGGTGAGAACAGTGAACTCTAGGCCTCGCTGATGCCCCCTAATCTGGCCACCCATTCCCCCCCCCATTGACGCAGCACTGCTGTGTGTCTGCACTTAAAGCGCTTAGAGGTGTGGGAAGGGAGATGGATTGGGAAGTTGTGATTTTTGCACTTAATTCAAGTGGATATTAGCAAACAGCTGGTGTTGTTGCCCTCCGAGCTCTGCTAAGACGGCCAGCCTAAACCGGCCACCACCTGGCTCTAGGATTTACCCCGCTGGGGGGTTGCGGTGGTGGCCAGGACTTTGCCATTGACCGGGATCATCCGGGCACAAGAGTTCCCAACCAAGCAGCAGCTTTTGAGATGGCGTAGATGAAAGGCAAGAGAAGATGGGTGGGATCCATGATCCACTTGATTCTTCCCCGACCTTTTTGGTGGAAGCCTTTCCTGGAGAAGGTCCGCACATAACCTAGCTGTCTCTCGTCTTCCCTTGAAGATAGTATAGATATGGGCAGGGGGTTCCCCTGAAGACACAGTGCAAAAAGCAAGGCTAAAAATGGTCAGGTCAGCAATCCTCTGAGTCTGACAATACGAGGATGCTGGCGCTGCGCAGGCTATACAGTCTGAACCATCGCTGCCGTTTTCTGTCTATAATGCAGAGTGATCTGAATGCAGGTGGTATTCAGCAGAGGGATCTCTGCCCCAACAAGCTTACAATCAAAAATGCGATACTAGGTAAACCAGAGAAGAAAAGGTCAATGGACCCTGTGTTCATCCCTTGGTTCACTGAACAAAAGCAAGCTAAAAGTCCTTTAGCTCGTAAGGGAGTTCCCACTTCTTATTACAAAGCTCTCTTCAAAGAGAGCCCGCACTGGCAGAACAGTTGAGCCCGGCAGGCAGGCCACAAAACCCTGAAAGGAGCGTGGCTTTGCTGAACCAGTAGTATCATTCCTGGGGCTACTCTAGTATGCATCGGAACTGAACTTGCTTGCCAAGAGGTGTCTATGCCAAGGCTGAGCCATGAACCAACTGGCTGCTGGCAAAGGGAGGTGACCCAGCCTGGCCCAAGACAGAGCCCCCTCCTCCCTGCCCCCTATCCCGGCCTTTCAGCGACTAAGGGGGGGAAAGTGGCCTGCCGCCACCTCTGGTCTCTCCTGATGGCGTATGTTTTATTTTGCTTGCAGATCGCGAAGCTGGGCCGCCGATGTTTCTGCCCCGCGGCCGTTTTCACGGTTGCTTGAAATGGTCGATGGTGTGTCTCTGTAAGTAAGATGAAACGCGCCCGCCAGTGAGAGACCCAGAGGCTGCAGCTCAGCTTCATTCCCCCCCCCCGCCCAAGATAGAGTTGGGATGGAAGGAGGAAAGGAGGGACGAAGGGAGAACGGGGGTGGGGAGGGCTGCTGGATCAGCATCACCTCAGGCACTCCCTGAGGCTTCAGAGCCCACACCTGAGACCAGGGGGGCGAGGGCTTGAGATGTCACAGAGGCCAGCCAGGCAGGCAGGGCTGGGAAGGAGGGCAGGCAAGGCGCACACGTGCGCGCGTGAGACCTGGCAGGTCAAGCAGCTCTTGCTACTGACCCTTTTCTGGGCAATCATACCTAAGGAATGGTCTCCTTGCTCTCCACAAACCATTTTCCCCCTGGAGGGTTTCCACTTAGTCAGGATATCAATAAACCTAACCTGGGTGACTCTGTGCTTTTCCGTGTTCCTTTGTGGGTCCCTTGGGTGTATCTCATGTTTAATTCTAATGCATATTGCACTTACAAGCTAAAACCAAGGTTCTGTGCTCAGGACCGAACTGGGGGCTACAGTCAACACATCATTAGAAACGGAGTTCCTTTAAGCAGGAAAAGACTGTTGGTTTACACTTTTCAATCCTCATTTGGGAAGCCTGCCTGCTTTTGTCCTGTAATTCATTAGTTGAGGGGCATCGTGCCTGGTGTTTATGGTACATAGCTGTGAAAGATTAGTGAGTCTTTGTGTGCCAGGAGGGATGACATGGCAAGAGGAGAAAAGATACTTTTGCCTTAATGTGTGATCTGACTTTAAGATGGCCTGAACACTGACAAAGGAATGACCTGCACAAAAGGTGCAGTATAATGAACTGTGCGATGCTTTGCTATATTTCCTTGGCAAAATTTACAGGGGGGGTGGGAAGAGAGAAGGAGGGAATTAATCAGGGGACCGAAATGCCTAAACCTCAGCCTCAAACTTACCCATAGTCCATATGAGCCCCATGCATCAGCTTCACTTCTCTGTGTGTACTCTCAGGTGCTGCACAAGGACACACTCAGTTTTGTGCAACTGCTGGGGTTTGAGAGCCCCTACCCCACTTTCCAAAATACTTCTCCTCCCGCCCTTCCCCACCGCCCTTAGCGGGAGGGGGCATTCCAGGGCCACCTCCATTCCCCCCCAAAAAGCGTCAGAGCCGGAGAGGCAAGTGTGGAGTTTAACTTAGTAACACACCTGTCACTGGAATAAAAGCAGTTGTGGCCGGGCGGTTATTTTCGGCACCTCTTTAGCGAGCGCCGGCTCCCGTCCTGCCGGAGAGCGAGCCGGAGCCCGAGGGAAACGGCCCACCACCCGACGGCTGCGGCGTCCCGAGGAGGAGGGTGGTCAGCACAGCAAAGAAAGGTTGGTGGCGCATAGTGAGGACCGAAACAAGGGTCTCCAGAAATCCAGGGACCAAGTTGGGCCTTCTTAGGAGCTCGATTTCCCCAAGGCGGATGCTTAGATTCAAAGCTTGTCCTCTGAAACCAAGAGACAAAGTTTCTCCGGGCAGTGAATGGGGCAGCTTTTCCCCATCCAGGCTTGGAGGCAGGCAAGCCTTGCTTTAGGGTGTGATCCCACAGGGAAAGAGATGGCAATGTGGACCACTTGGGAAACGGTCCGGTGCGATCTATTTCCTGACCATCCCACGACGCCTGGCGGAATGCACCCTGTGCTCGTTTTGGCCCGGATCTAAAGCTCCTGCTTTTTGGGGGGACTGGATTGGAGTGATTCCCCAGCAGAGGGAAGGTTCATTTTAAGGGAGAATGCTCCACTTCAAGCCACCCTTTCCAGTGCAATCAGGTGTGTGCCTTTGCAGCCCTCTGAATGTGCCCTTAGTCACAAGAGGAGTTTGTGAGGTGTGTGCCCATATTGTATCCGCCTCTGAAAAATGGTTTTCAGGGAGGGTGGATGTTGTGTGGTTTCTAAACTCTGCAACCCTTAATTAAAAAAAGAGAGGGTCACCTGCATTAAAAACATTGTCTGTCTCCAAGTGGAAGGATGCAGGCCAAGTCCAGCTCAGAAAGATGGCTTTTGCAGACTGGGAACATACCATTTCTGTTCCGTTTTGGAATGACAGACGGCTGGGGGTTGGCATTCCAGCTCTTGATTATTTGCTTATAATTTGTTAATTGACATATTTATAGTCTGCCCTATAGACCCAAGGAGGTCAGGCCAGGGGGATTAGGAAGAAAAGAACAAACAGTTCTAAACCATTTAAAACAATACAAAACAACAACGCGGAGGAGCTAAACCAATCTTTTAAACGGTGCAGCAATGCTGAAAAGAAGAGGTTGTTTACTGCTTTGGAGTTGGGGAAGGAAAAGCACAGGCACGCACCTCTTGTGTGCAAAAGGGCTGGGAAGTGACCAGGTTCTTCAAGGAGACGACTTATCCCGGGACATTATTCTAGGATTTTAAGGATGCCGTCCTACTCCAGGGTTTAGGAGACTCCCTCTGCACCATGGGATGCACTTAGAAGGATGTAAGGAATGGTGCTATTCAAAACCTCAGCTATCTTGCCATCCTGTATGGTGGTTTTGTCTCTTCCGTACAGCCAGAAGGGTCCAGTTCACGGGGAATGTCTCCCGCACAAGCCCCATTCCGCCCAGTTGGAGGGCACAGAAGGCTGGCAGTGTAGACTGGTTAACAGCTGGGCACTTCCCTTTGGAGTTTCTCGAGAAGGAAGATGTTGTCGCTGTGCTAGTCTACTGCGGTGGAAGTCAACCAAAGTGACACACACACACGATTTGGCAGAAGCTTTTGTGGCTCACAGCTTGCTTCCTCAGGTGCAGCCCACACATTTTTCTGCCAGATAAAACTATTTAGCCTTGAAGGCGACACGACAGCCACTGACACTTGGCGATCCTTCAGGTCCGAGTGTTCAGATTGGGGTACAACCTGTCTCTATAGGTTCATCTTATCCCTCCTGCCCTTCTCACTGGTCATGGAAGGACCCAAAAAAGTCCAAGGGCCTCTTTGGAATGTTTGTGGATGCAGGGGATGGGAATGCCCGGGTCTTCTGCTGGTTGAGAGCTGTTAGCTGATTTACATAAATACATATTTCTCAAACTGTCCTTTGCATGCACAGAAAATTGGCTTGCATGGAACATCCAGCTAGAATCAATCCTACAAATCTTACTTGTTTCTTCAAGCTGAGTGTGTCCTAGCCCTACAAATACTCTTGCTTTTTAAATACTCCTCCCCCCCAATCTATATTAAGCCCCCTTTGGGAGACTCGTAGGGTTTCTTGGTGCTGAAATGTATTGATTCCTCAAGAGCTGCTGCTGCTGCTGCTTCTTGGCTCCGTCAGTCCTGCAAAACCAGCCCCCAGAAATGGACATGTTGTGTTTGGTATCGGCATCCCACGGCTGACTCACGGGCAGAGCTTGCTTGGAAAAAAATATATCTGTTTTTAGACCAGTGTTCCCAGGAACTCTCCGACCGACCGACTGCCTGGCTGCTTCCCACAAGGGCTGGGAGATTTCTGGGAACCTGCAGGTTGCGTGCTTAAGCTCTGAACAATGGCCTCTTTGGAAAGGAAGTGTTTTATCCCTTCTAATCACAGGGTCGGTGGTGCTTCATCCAGATCTGCCCTTTGCAATTCCCTCTTGGCATCCCGCAGTCACACTCCCTGTTTTTCTCAGCCATGTCACCGGAAGCCCAGGGCCTCCTCCTCCGTTTTCAAATGGGCCTTTTAGATGTTCTTCCCTGCTTCCCTGTCTGACGTGGGGCTTCGGCCAGACTTGTGGGGGTTAATCCAACCGACCTTTTGAGATCTGAGGTCTCAGGACTGTTTGCAGTCCCTCCCACGTCCTGGCAGAGGCACACCTACTCACAGGACTCTGGAATGTTTCTTTCTTTCAACTACAGTGCCCAGAATCCTCAGCCGGCTCTGCTGGTGAGGTTTCTGAGCCCTGCTGCAAGGGAGCCCGTCTTGCCTTGAGCTTCTGTACCGCAGGGCAGCCTGGCTGGGGTGTTGGGGTGTGTGTGTGAGGATTCTGCTCCTTCTGGCCGGTTGTGCTGGTTGACTGAGGTCTGCTGACATGCATGATCCCCACCCAGCCACCCACCCCACGTTCCAGCCTGGAACCTCTGTATCAAGTTAAGCTTGGGCACATCTTCAGACGGAGGGTGAAGTGGAAACTGTGGCACCCTCTTCGGGGTCCCGCCTTGGGGGAACGCTCACGTGCTCTCTAACGGTGCGTGCAGGAACCATGGGACAGGTCTTGTTTTCTTCGGGATACTCGCACGGGCGCACAGAGAGATGCTCATGCGCACACCTGCAGAGTCGCTTGGTGGTGCAGGGCAAGGCTTGCGTTCCTCCATCCCTGGCTCAGTTCACCTAAGGAGGGGGCAGGTGGGCCCTCAGCCACAGCACCGCTGGTAGAAGAGAGTTGAGCATGTCAAGAGCTGTGGAGAGCTCCTGTCTAGTTCAGTGCCCTCTGGGGGATTCTTGGAGTTGCCATCCAGAAATTAAAGGCTCAGAGGGTGTCTTTACAAAACAGTGCATCTTTACAGACAGTGGCTGTCTTTCAGGAGGGAGATGGGAAGGGTCTCCGCAAAAGGCTTGTTTGCAAAGTGGCATCAAAGCTGGGGCACCCCCCCTGCCCCCTTTTAACTGTGTTCTTTCTCCTCTCCATCTCAGTAATGAATGGAAGCAGCCACTCCCCGACGGCTATCAATGGGGCACCCTCCACCCCCAACGGTTTCAGCAACGGGCCCGCCACCTCCTCCACCGCCTCGCTCTCCAACCACCAACTTCCGCCGGCCTGCGGCGCGCGCCAGCTCAGCAAACTGAAGCGCTTCCTCACGACGCTGCAGCAGTTTGGCAACGACATCTCCCCTGAGATCGGGGAGCGCGTCCGCACTCTGGTGCTGGGTCTGGTGGTGAGTTCGGGTCCCGCCTTCTCTCGGTGGGCAGTTCCTGGTGGGTGGCTGTGAGGAGAGGCTGGCCGGGGAAGCCCCGCTCGGTCCTGACCTCTCGTGTGGTTCCTGCCCTCCAGAATTCCACGCTGACCATTGAGGAATTCCATTCCAAGCTCCAGGAGGCCACAAACTTCCCTCTGAGGCCCTTCGTCATCCCTTTCCTCAAGGTACGTTCCCCTTGTGCAGTTTGGACCCCATCACACCAAGCAGCAACGTTTCACGGAATTCCTCTCCTGCTGAGAAGACCCTTAAAAACTGGTGGGTGGCTCACATCTCGATCAACTGGCACAAAGCTGCTTTCTGCACTCTGTCTCCGAAGCACGCAAGCACATGCATCGAGCACCTCGAGAGGAAAACACTTGGGAAGACACGGAGGACAGCTGGCCCACCGCGGCCTGCAGCCACACCTGCACGCGAGGGACGCCTGGGTCTATTCGGCACTTTGAGGCCCTGTTGGGAAGGCCTGGCCTTCCTGTTGATGCACGTTGGGACCTAGCCGATTGGAGAGTGATGGGCTAGTTCTCAGGAGTTCTGGATTCAAATCCTTGCTCAGCTATGGAGACACAGTGAAGGGAGGGGACGTGGTCAAAGCACTCCTTAAATATCCTACTAACTGGCTGGAAAGCTCCATGGTTTCACTGTCTGGCTGCAGAGCCAGAGGTTGGGAGTTTGATTCCCCCACTGCATCTCCAGGGAGAAAAGCCAGCTGCCCAGTGGTCCCAGGGCACCCCCAGAAGCAGGGAATGGAAAACCACTTCTGTATATTCTCTACAAAGGGTTGCCATGAGTCAGAACTGACTTGATAGCACATGATGATGATTATAAATATCTCACTTACCTCGAAATACCTATTAGGGTCACTATAAGCCCAGTCCAGCTGGGCAGCACCTAACACAACCAGGGGCTCTCCGGCCACAACATTTCCCATTATTTATCAGAGGTACGAAGCAGAATCCTGGTCCATCTAGACCCAGAGTCTCCGTTCAGCCTGGCCAGAGTGGCCCCTTAGGGTTTGGGGTGGGAGTTCTGCAACCCAGTCTTAAGATGCTGGGAGAAATTGGACCACGAGACCCTCTGGAAGTGACTCGGGAGCCTGTTTTCTGAGCTCCCTGCCTTAATCCAAGGGAGGTGCAAACTCACACGATTGTTGTTGTCGTTAAGAAATCAGGAGCCCAAAGGGGCCCAACGTGACTGCCCCCTCCCCAGTGATCTGCTGTTGGAAATGGGTGGAAACCATGCAAATGGTTGGGGGGGGACACTTGAGGGAGAGGGGAGGGGATTGCAGTCAGGATGATGGCAAAATGAAAGCTCAGAAGCCCCACACAATGGGTGAACAGCAACAGCCTTGCACCCAGGACTGGGGCTTGTGAGCGAGACCACAGCTGGTCTGGGCTGAAATATCTGGGCAGATCTCAAGGCAACTGGCACGTCCCTCCCTCTCCCCCCTCCCCACCTCCATGTTGGTTCTTGCTGGCAGACTTTGGGGGCAGACCGCAAACCTGGCACTTTCCTCTCCAGCCTGGGAGAGAGACATCCTTTCCAGCTGGGG